ATATATATATATATATATATATATATATATATATATATATATATATATATATATATAAATTATTAATTTAGAACCCAATAACTTAAAAGGATTATAATCCCGAACCCATAAGATTCAAATCCTAGCTCTGCCTCTGCTAATTTGCGACACCTAAAACCACCATTGTAGCCATTACTTAAGCAGTAATAGTAATTAAATGCTCGAATGATAGTGTGACACGTAGAGCCGGAGGCAAACAGAAGATGAAGCGAGTGGAAACCAAGACCGAGGACAACATCAGTTGGCACCGGGTTAAATATGTAGCCGTGTAAAGAATTTTGGCATTTGTGTTCTGTTGTTACATATTCATCAATGACCCCCTTTATTGTCATTTAAGAGGGGCTTGATCTTAGAATCTTGTTCCCTAAGTGTAGCTATAAATAGTTTACTTCAATAGCCATTGTAGGACGCGAAATCTCTGACAAACTTATGCTACACATTATTCTCAAGCCAAATAATACTCCCTCCGTTCCAATTTATGTGAACCTGTTTGACTGGGCACGGAGTTTAAGAAAAAATAAAGACTTTTGGAATTTGTGGTCCTAAACAAGTCAAAAAGGGGCCCAGAGTATTTGTGTGGTTATAAAAGCTTCTCATTAAGGGTATAATTGTAAGCTTAAGCTAAATTGTTACCAAATTTAGAAAGAGATCATTCTTTTTGGAACAGACCAAAAAGGAAATAGGTTCACATAAACTGGAACAGAGGGAGTACTTTATTTTTTGTCTAACATTATTCTTATTGCAGCCGTCGGAAGCCTTGCTCCCGAAACTACATTAACTGTTATTTACTTTGATTTTAAAGTCTTATATTTTTAATTTGATTTATTTATCATTTTTGGATCAAATCAGTTCGCTTGTCTATAAACCACGCAAGAAATTCAAGTGTACCGTTTTACAGGTAAACAGTTTGGTGCCCACCATGGGGCTTAGATAGCTGCGTAACTGAGTTGATCTTTGCATCTTTTACTAACTTGTTTGATTCTTTGTTTCATAGAAAAAATCAAAAAAAAAATAGCAGCCAACAATGTCAACATCCCACACAACATTGAGGCGCAAGAAAATCTCCCTCACATGAGGATTCGATCAGTGACACCTACAACGAGGAGGACGTAGTAACTACGGTCCATGGTAGGCGTTATCCCCGAAATGTACGGGAGACAACTCTTGATGACGCTGAGGACGAGCACGTTGCGAAGACGGTAAGGATCTTGAGGGAGCAGCAAAAGGCCACCATGGGCCATCTCTTAAGGCAAGACCAGGCCATGACGGAACTAAAGGAAGCATTGTCAGGTGCTTCCAACAATGCAAATGGAAGAGGCCATGTTCCTCCCGGCGCTCCCGCGAATCAAACAACTCAAAGAGTTGATAACAATACCCCGAGGGGAGAGGTTGGCTTCAACGGAATCGGGGGGATCGACAATGGATCTAGTAAAGACAACGGCAACGATCCCTTCAAAACCAAACTCATGAGATTCATGAGGGAAATAAATGAGCGGATGGATCAGAACGCGAAATAATTCCACGATCGAATAGACTAAATTCCGGGCGCACCATCAGTGTTAAAGGGCCCAGACTCGAATAAGTACACCCAATTGCCATTCAAACCGAGCACAACACCAGAATTGATTCCCAAATAGTTCAAATACCGGACATACCAAAATATGATGGACTTCGGACCCTTAGGAGCACATTACAACTTATATGATAGTGGTGAAAGGAAACG